CAAGGGTAATAAAAACCACTACTTAGATGAACTGAAATGAAGTATGTGACCACCGGGCACAGTCCTTTGCTTGAATAAGCATTCAGCAAACGGCAAAGGCTTCCATCATCACGATCACTGTTACTTATCCCTGTTCTCCTGCCATGAGGCTCCCTGGCTAGCCTCCCTGCCTCTAGACTCTCCCTCTGGAATTTGTTCTCCGAATGGCAGTGGGTGTGATCTTTCTGAAACATGCATCTGACTGTTGGTCCTCTGCCTGAAAGCTGGCCCTGGTTCTCCAATGTCCTCCTACTGTGTTCTATTCCATGACCTGGAATTCAAAACCCTTCTCCCTCTGGCCCCTGCCAACCTCTTAGGTTCATCTTCTGGAACTTCCCTTCTCTCCCTCTATACTACATCCCAAACACTCTTCTATTTGCACACACCTCTAACACACTCCTGCTGTCTCACCCCTGCCTGACTTCATCTCTGCCTTATTGGCCTGGAGAGCAATTTGTCATCTGCTTATAATTCGTAAACCACCTGAAAGGTGTCTTCCATGATTCAAGCCTGCTTTGTTCCCTTCACTGAGCCCTTCAACCCTATAGTAGCACATATCACACTGGATAGGACTGGTGGTCAGTTTTTCACTGGCTACCCCACTAGACTATGCCAATTCACTGTGATCAGGCACCCAGCACACAGCTAGCTTCACTCAATATGGAATGAATGATGAGCCTTAGTTTTCCTAATCTTTAAAATGGGCAGCACAGGCAGCCAGGCCTGGTTAGTCCAGAGGACAGTAAGCACACTGGAGGCTGGAGGAAGATGAAGTCAGGAAGGCTCCCTGGAGGAGGTTGGACTTAGACTTATAAGGCATCTAAGAAAGAGTGAGAGTGAACAAGAGAGGGCAAATGAGACAGAGAATGAAGATTTGGGAAACTTAGTGGATCTCTGTTCTGTCTCACTGTTCCTCTAGCTTCAGAACACTCAGGGGACACCCCCATCCCAGCCCCCAGCCTCACCATCTTCCTCTGGCCGATAGTACAGCACTTTACATTTACACAGAGAGTTTTTACAAGCTTTTTCTCATTTGTGTGTTGGTTGGCTCAGAGGCTAGACTGAGAGTTAGCAAACCTGACCCCTCATATCCTGACTGTCCTTGGCTTCCTGTGTGCCTGGGGCAATCCCTTTCACCTCTGAGCTCCGTTTCCTCAAGTGTCATGTGAAGATACCAATTGTTGCTCAATATGTGGGAAAACCTCCATAGACCACAGAGTTCTGTGCCCCAGTGAGGACTATTAATCTTGTGGTTCTAGTATCAGCAAAGCCCAGTGCTAGCTGCTAATCAGCCACTTGGGAGTCCCCAGAATAACGTTACTCGGGGCCCTAGCAGAAAGGGACCTCAGGGGGCAAGCCCTCAGTAGGCTGGCAAGCGGCAGGGCCTTGGGGTTTAATGCGACCAGGCCCAGCCCCAACCCGGTTCTCCCCACTGAGGCAGTATTGGCTTGGGGAGAGAAGAACTGCAGTGGCCTGGTCACAGGTGAGCTGGGCCAGCTGGCAGAGGCCTTGGGCATGAAGGCTGCACAGAAAGTGCCCACAGCTGGTCAGAACCCAAGGGTCTGGGAGGACAGGGTTCAGCAGCACAGGCATTAGGGACCCTTACCGCACTATGAGAGGGGCTCTAGGGAAGGGTACATGGGCTAAAATCTTCACCCCACTACACAGCCTTCCGGGCTGGCTGGCTCTGATGCAGATTTGCTGACTATGTGGCTTTGGCCAGGTCATAGCCCATCTTGGGCATCCCCCTCCCTATCAGCAACAATAAGGGAGCAGGACCAGAAGTTCTTCATAGAGGCAAGTGTTGTCTGACTCTGCAGGAAGGCCAGAGAGAAAGCCCTGAGGTTGTCAGGACAGCTACGCTCCAGTCTCCGCCCGAGGAAACACGGAGAAGCAAGAGGTGCTGGGCTCGCTGAGATGCTGCTTAGATAGGAGAGGAATCAGAACAAATCTCCAGCCTCAAGGAACTCCCAGGCAGGTGCGGGAAACATGGATGACAACACTCAGAATGATCTAGACCTCCAGACAAAGAAGCTTCCGTGCCTCCCTGGGGAACCCCAGGCAGGGAGCCAGGAGTCTGGTGCAGCTCTCACCCCAGCTCCCTGTGTGACCTGGAGCAAGTCACCCCTTCTCTGAGCTTTCTTTATTTGGAAAATGGGGATGTGGACTACATTACTTGCTTTTAAGGACCCATCTGGTTCTGATGTTCTGTGACTGTCCAGCAAACCTTGCACAACCAGCTTACATGGGCCAGTCAGTGGAAGGAACAGCTTCTCAGAATTGCAGCAACTTTCAGGGAATTGCAGTTTGTATCACTTTAGGTCCTAAAATAAAAGAAAATGAAAATCCCTGCTGACAAGTCTGTTATGGGAAAAACTTCAATTTAACTCAGGTTAACTCTTTCATTAATTAATCCACTTATTAAAAAATATTTGTTGAGGCTTTATTGTAAACTGGCACCAGGTACATGTATCAGCTCAGGATGTGGGGCCTGGCTATCTGGATCTTTTTCCATAAGGATGTACTCAGTCCAGCTCTTCCTTAAGTCATTTCTTGAAAACAGCATTTTTCTAGCCATGTAGAGCCTCTATTTAAGAACCTGTCCTCTGAAACTGTTTAAAAATACCCTTAGAACAAAATAGAAATTTATAGTTGTCTCTGACATCAGCCTACAAAACAGAGAGAAGAAAATGAAACTTTGGTTAAATTTTGGCCCCCATGGAAACAAGAGCTTCCCAGTTTTCCCAGCAGCCTGGCTTGGTGACAAGTCTAAGACCAGAGCCAGGAGTTCTGGTTTCCAGGCCCAGTTCTGATGCTGACCTGCTGTTGGCCTGGGGCTGTTTTCCATCCCCTTCCTGGCCTGATTCTCCAGTTGTCAAGAAAGGATCAGGGACTTGGTCACCTGCAGGGCCATTTCCACTCTTACATATCAGTGACATGAGAAGAGTTTGATTGGAAGAGGGAGAAGCTGGCAGTAGTTTTGGAAAACCTTGTGGAACTGCTCAGGGGCCACTGGGCAGAGAGGCAGTGATCCGAATGTCACCACAGCCTGGCCCTGGGTTGCTTAGTCAAGGTAAAGAGTGAGTCAACACTTTCTCCCTTCGGCTCAGTTCCTTGGGTTGGAAAGTCTCACTCTGGGGTTTTGGGCTGCCATGGATGTGCATTTACCTTCTTCAACAGCCTGTGGGGAGTGGTGTTACCTTCTGCAGAGCACTTGGTCTTCTCTCCTGACACTGAGTCTGAGACTTCAGCTCCCCGTGGCACCCTATGAAGTGGGGCCAAGGAGGGAAAGTTCCAGGGCAGAGAGTGAGAAGCGGCTAAGCGGTACCACCTGCCGAGCTGCAGCAGCAAGGAGGAGGGAGATGAGTGGAGGGACCCCACCAGTACCCTGGAGTCTGAATTTCCCCAACAGGAAAGAATCCATCTTCAATTCCATTCAGGAAACGTCTTCTTCCGAAGGCATGCTCCCTGTCTCTACTATCATCTGGGTGTGTTAGGGACAGGGATTTCCCGGCATGGGACCTTCAATGCTAAAACCAGTCAGTTCTGGGCAAAGCAGATTGGTTAGTTCTGAAAATTAAAAAGAGACAGAATACAAAGACAGGCCAAAGAGCACCAGGTTAGACTGAAACAGACAGAGAACCCCAGCAGAAGCTATACAGAAAGGGAAGCCATTCTTGAATTAAGCAGACAGTACTCTGCAACGCTCCTTGGCGGAAGCAGCTCTCCCTATCCATGCTGGGAGAAGATACCACAGAAGGCGAATCCTCAAATGAATGGAGATGTAGAAACAAAGAACACTGATTTAAAGGAACACCAAGTCCCAGCCCAGATGGAGTGAGATGAGACTGGGGGGTTTGGAGGGGGAATTGAATCCAGAGCTGTACAGAAATAGTTCCAACAACCATCCCTGAAGCAGGGTTCCCACCAGTTCCTTTCCGCTCGTGAGCTGGAAGTCTTTTTCAGAAGTCACTGACAATCCTCAAGGCTCAGAAGTATACAAGAAGAGTCAAGGGAACCTTAGAGCAAAGTCTGTTGGACTTTCACTCCAAGGTTTAGCTTCATCACTCTCAACCAATGATCCTGTCTTCTTCACAAGGTTTTAGGTTAAAGAACTAACCCGTTAGTTCAGGAACTGCTGTGTAGAGATCTCTAGACTCGATGGGCTTGTGACAAATAACCATATTCAAGACTCTAGTGCTGACAGTGGGCGAATCTCGTAAGTGGGTCATTACCATACCCAGAATGTTCCTTCACCTATGGTAGCAGCAGCTAGGCTTTCACAGCAGACATCCTTAAAGGGGCTACTTGAACTAATAAAGAAGATACTTGATTTTTAATTGATATTTGAACATAAATGGACACTTCTCAAGACTTTTCCCTAAGATGGAATAAATTTGCCTCCAAGCCCCACAATCTCACTGATGTGGCTCATTTATATACTTTATTATTATTTTTTTTATAACCAGTGGACCTAGGATTCAAGGATTTTTAATCTAGCTCCTATGCAAATATTAAACTTTCTCTGTAGCATTTCAGTCCCAAACACCCATACTTTCACACCTCTCTTGTTGTATGGAAACAAGCCAGTTTTTTGCCTCTTGGGATAGTTCTAATTGTAAGAAACTTATCCCCTATGTGGGACTGAACTCTGGGCTCCTGGAGCTGCTAATACTGGCCCTGGTGTCTCGTACATGTTGCTGTAGTTTATAGCCCTTCAGGTATTTGTGTCCACCAGACAGGACCAATTCTTTCAACCATTGCTCATTGGACACCTCACCATCATGGGCAACTTAGCTGTGCAATGAAATTCCAGGTACAAAGAAACTGCTAGGATTGAGATCTATGCTGCAAAAAGAGAAGGATGTGTGTTTTAGTTAATGTTTTCCTGATTATTCTTGTTTCCAGATATGTGCTGATATTCCTAGTGTCTGTCTGCAGACGCCCAGCCCTGACCCACTATGGAAGCCACCTGTAATGAATCAGAGGACTCCTCACCTGTATTCTGCCTGGTGGGCATCCCCTCTCTGCCTGAATCCCTCTTTTCCCTTGTATTCTTAGTTTTCCTCTTCATCTACCTGCTCATCCTGGCGGGGAACACCCTGATCCTGGTGGCTGTAGTGGCAGAGCCCAGCCTCCACAAGCCCATGTACTTCTTCCTGGTCAACCTCTCAGTCTTGGACATTCTCTCCACTACAACCACCATCCCCAAGATGCTGTCCCTACTCTTATTTGGGGACCACTTTCTCAGTTTCCCTGCCTGCTTCCTACAGATGTACCTTTTCCATGGCCTCAATTGCTCTGAAGCCTTCATCCTGGTGGTCATGGCCTATGACCGCTATGTGGCTATCTGCTGCCCCCTGCGCTACCCTGTGCACATGACCCCCCGGACCAATGCTGCGCTGGCCGCTGGTGCCTGGCTCACTGCCCTTCTCCGGCCCATCCCGGCTGTGGTACAGACCTCCCACATGGCTTTTGGCAATATTGCTCACATCTATCACTGCTTCTGTGACCATCTGGCCGTGGTCCAGGCCTCCTGCTCTGACACCACACCCCAGACCTTCATGGGCTTCTGCATCGCCATGGTGGTGTCCTTCCTGCCCCTTCTCCTGGTGCTTATTTCCTACACCCACATCCTGGCTGCGGTGCTTCGCATCAGCTCCCGAGAAGGACGCTCAAAGGCCTTCTCCACCTGCAGCTCCCACCTTCTGGTGGTTGGGACCTACTACTCATCCATCGCCATTGCCTATGTGGCCTACAGGGCTGACCTGCCCCTCGGCTTCCACATCATGGGCAATGTGGTGTTTGCCATTCTTACTCCTGTCCTCAACCCTCTTATCTACACTCTGAGGAATAAGGATGTCAAAGCAGCCATCAGCAAAATGACATGTCCCCAGGTCTCAGGGCATTCTGGGGCTCTTGACCCTTAAATGCAACTAATTCAGTTCCCTGGACAGCAATGACAACATGTAGCCCAGAACAGAAACACAATTATATTTTTAAGTGAATCACAGCACCCTAAATTGGCTTTATTCATTTGCCTTTTGGGATAGTTCTAATTGTAAAAAACTTATTCCGTACTCTATGACTGAACTCTATGACAAATGGAAAAAACTTGGTCGTCAGAAGGATCAAGAAGTCTTCTCACTGGTGCTATAGAATAATTATACTTTTCACAATTTGCATCAATCGTGAATATGATGAATAAAATTTGATCATCCAATCATTCTTAAAAATCTTTACTAGGTACTAGATTCAGAAATGAACCAAACACAGCTGTGCCAGCAAGGTATTCATATTCTAGTGGCAGAGTCAGACCCATAGAAATATTATAAGGTGAAAGAACAGAGAGAAGCAAAGGGGGTTGTGGGAGCCAACGGGCTAGCACTTAATTCAATGTAAAAATTCTCTCCTGTAAGTTTTTATATTTTTGGCATCAGTATCGTTTGTTAGCGAATACTGGTGGATCAGCAAAATAGTCAAGGGTGGTTGGGAGGCTTGAAATTATTGCAGAAGACCTTTTCCATGCACATCTCTAGCTGCTAAAATCAGGGAGTGGCAATGGGGTCCGTGTTCTTGCCCAGTGGGAATGATCTGCTTTCGGCTTGGATGCCCATTAAAAGGTGATGCTTCCTGCCAAGAGCCAGTGGGTAGAAGTTAGTGTGGCCCCACTTGCCACTACCCACAGTGACTCATTTGGGGGAATTTGTGTTTCCAGTCCTGACCATCATAGCCTCTGTGGATTAAGCAGTCCTGATTCCACAAGGGACAAAGAAAGTCTGACTAAATCTAAAGCTACAGCTGCTGCCTCGTCATTTTAAGCCAAGTGTGCAGGTGCACCAGGGTAATTGACCCTGATCTTCGGGAGGAAGTTAGACTGCTCTTCCGTAACAGGGGCTGAGGAGACTTCATTTCTCTCATGACCAACATTAACTGCAAATGGGTGAATCAAGCATATGCCTAATAAGGCATAGTAGCCAGGGGCTCAGAACTGGCTAGAAGGGAATCCATCTAGACAACTGAAGTGATTGAATATGAAGGGAAAAGACAAGGGGGTCTAGAATAGATGGTAGAAGAGAGAAATGGTGAGTATCACTTACTGCCTTGGAATTAACTAATCCTTCTCTTAGAAATTGCAACTAATGAGAATCCTGGAAACCCTATATCCAACGGAGTGGACTTCTTGTGATAAGTTAATACATTATAGAGTTTTAAGGGATAGGCTGTGGTAGACACAGTTGGCGGCCTGCCCTCTGGCTGCTGAGTGTTGACTGCCAACATACCACTCACATACATCCTCAGATGTAGATATAATGGCCCTGACCTGTATTGCTTTCCTTTGGGTGGGGAAGGGAGCAAGGGAGTAGTTTTATAAGCAGAACAAATGAGCTACTAGATACTAAGCAGTTTAACCTTAGATGCCGGCTATTGACTATTCTTGGTAAACTATCAATTCGGCATCTAGAGACCCTGAGAGCCCATGAAAGTTGCATCTTTTGCAGGAAATGGACACCACCAGTCCCCTGGAGAATTGACTTTATGCAAGCAGTTTCTCCCCTGGCTGTTGCCAGGCAATGCAAGCAAAGCTCCTGGAGTTATTTTCAAACAATCATGTTTCACTCCAAGCACTCTGTATCCCTTATCTCATTCAATCTTCTCAAAAACTCTATGAGAAAGGTCATATTGTTATGTTCCATTTTACAGATGGAGAAACTCAGACTCAGAGAGGTTAAGTAACTTGCCTCAGGTGACACAGCTAAACTATATTAGAACTGATATTCAAACTCGGGACTTTCTCACATTAGACCCTATGACTTTATCTGGGAAGGAATACTGCAGACCACAGGCCTGGGGGTGAAGCCTGGCTCTGTCACAGCTCTGATACTCAGCATCAGCATAAGCATCAGTAAGTGATTTCACTTCTCTGGACCTTATTTGCCTCCTCAGGGGCTGCCTATCTCCCCTGGCTGTTCTGAAAACCAGATGGAATGATGTCAGTAAAGCTGCCCCATTGGTTGTAAAGTTCTGGGACCCATGAGGGCTGTTAACAATGTTGTTGTCTCTATCAGAAAATCCCAGAGGCAAGCCCCCTCCCAACACATGCCTTAGGAGGGGCTGAAAAGCTGATCCTGTGTGGCCGTGGGCACAGTGACCAAAGGAACCCTGTCTTGAGGGAGAAGGCCCCAGCAGGCTTGGCCGCAAGGAGGGGTAGGGGGGTTCAGCAGGCCATAGCTGAACAGCTGCCTGGTGCTTCCCTGTCAGGCCAGGCTGGAAGACAAAAAGGGGATGCCATGGGAGACACCAGTGTGGACAGGGCTTGGCAGGTGAGTGGCTGCTGGGGGTCTAAAGGTTGCAGGTCAGCAAAGCCCAGAGTGGGGAGATAGTGGCAAGGATGTGAGGGGGGATGTAGATCAAGGGCCAGGGACCCGGAGGGCTAACTGTGTGTGACAAGGGGAAGGCACCCAGGAGCCAGGTTGGCTGTGCACTCGCGGGCTGTGGGGCTTTTGGGCCATGCCTCCTGGCAGGTCCAGGCAAGGGGGTGCACTCGCAGGTGGGACTCAAATCACTGGCCAAGGCCTTCCCTCAGGAGAGCAAGGAAGTGCTGGGAGCACCAGCAGACTTGGAGCCGTCCCGCGTGCCAGGCTCTCGGGTGCATGTCTGGCAGCCATCTCTCTGTGAGCACCCACAACAACCCCAGGAGACTGTGAAAGAGGGGAATGGCTCAGGGAGGGGAAAGGGACTTGCCCAAGGTCACACCGCTGGAGGAAGGAGTTGGGAAGGGAAACCAGTCCTTCCGGACTCACAGGTGCACACACCTGCCTGCTCAGGTCTGCCGGCCAGGACAAAGGTAAAGAAATGGCTGGCAGCCGGTGCCCCCGAGGTGGGAGAGCCCTCACCGCCTCCCTCTGGGGCACGGACCTGTGACACTTGCTCAGCCAAACACAGAGGGGACACTCAGAAAATGGCTCCCTGACTTGGAAACCCTCAGAGACCTTTTCCTCCAAACCCCTCACTGCACAGGTGAGAGAACCAAGGCTCAGGGCCCCAAAGTCGCAGTGAGTGAGTGAGTGGCAGGGCTGGTTGGGGGCCATGACTCTCGGTGGCCGGTGGGGTGCTCAGTGCTCCGCACAGGCTGGCTCCAGAACTTCCTGGGCTCTCCCCTCCCCAGACGCAGCCTCGGACCGCCCTTCGGTGTCTCATCCGTGCAGGCGCATAACTGCTCCCCACAGGGTTAGACAATGTGTGACATGTGGCATCAGGTTGGACACTCAGGTGGCTGGTTTTCCTGTCCTTCTCCGTCCCTCACCTACACTGTGACTGGCTCAGAGAATCCCAGCAGGGAGAACCTGCTCTGAGGCAAGTTCCGTGCCCTGGGAAATGGCACCCTTTTGGGCCTAAGCACAGGGTAGCATCGCTCAGATGTAATAAGTAATTCAAAGTAAAACAAGAGCCCCAACTTGGACGAAATACGACCAAGGAAGTCCAGCTAAATTCAGATCATCCTTATGATGGGCTATTTGAATGGCTGCTTTGAAATAACCATGTGAAATTCTTTAAGTATTTTTGGCACCTGTTCTTGGTGACCCAGTGTGTGCCTGGTCTGCCTGGTAGTCCTGCACCACCTGACCATGAAAAGCCATATGGCACCTCTCCATCAGGGTCTCAACGTCCCTAACTCCACCTGCAAGGCAGTGGGACAGAGGAGGGGAGAGAGGGGCAGCTCACCTTGATGGGCTCTCAGGGCCCCTGTGGCCTTAGCCTTCTGTGTTTCTGCCCCTCAGACCTCCTGCCCTGCCTCTCCCAGGACTGTTGGCCACGGCTGCTTCTCTGTGGGCAGGAATGTCCCAGGCAGGAATGTCTCGGGCAGGGCAGCTTGCATCCCTCCGGGTGTGAGAAAAACCCAGCTGACTGAGGGCTAACTCTTAAAAAGGGAACCAACCAGGTTCCCCCTCTTGGCCAGGTCATGGGAGTGAGTTCTGAGGTTCTTTTTCAAGGGCACACACACTGGGCAGTTGTGTCTCCCAGGCTCCTTCTAGACAGAGCATTTTGCCAGGCACCACTTCCATATCTAGAAGCCAGGCTGCACAATCCAAACCAACCACAGAGCAAACCAGGAAATGTTTAAAAGGTGCTTGGGAAGGGAATTTGTTTAGAATTGAAGGTTTGAAAAGACCCTTTTCCAGGCTGACATTCTAGGATTCTAGGACATGAGAGGTGTTTTTAGTTAGTTTTGCACTTGTTTTAGAAAAGAAAGCAAGGAGGAGCAGTTCCAGGAAATTCAAAGGGAGACTGCTCAGTGGAGTCGCTGCGGTTTCAGCAGCAGTGATGTGGATTCAACCAGGAAGCTGCCTGGACCACTCATCAGGGGCTCTGCCTGAAACATGGCTGAGCCAGTACTGCCTCCACCCAAGTCTGGCAGTCCTGGCATTGACCTCAGCACACGTTCAGTGAAAAAACCCCGAGACAGGGTTTTCTGGCTCCAGGCAGGTACAGTTTCCAGTTCTCTGGGTTGTTCCTAGCAACAACGGTTCTCATGACAGCTCCTTGTGTCTTCTTCTGAGTTGGCATTAGAGGAGCCAATGGCAGAGTGGGCATAAAAGAACAGAATGCCCACTGGGCTGCAGCAGCCAAGAGGAAGGAAGATAATAGACATCAGATAAGCCCTGAGCTTGGGCTCCATCAGGAAGAGTGTTGTCCCACAGAAGCCATTTGTCTCTCCCATCCCTGAAACGTGAGCAGGAGGGCACCCCAGGAACTCACTAGAGAGAGAAGCAGGCAGAGCTGCGGCCCCCGGGCACTGAGAGAGGAGCCATGCCCTGGGTGATGTGTGAGCAGGCAGCATGTTACAGAAAATCTGCAGGAAAAATCAGTCCTTCCTAGTGATGTGGTAATAGTGATGTCATTCAGTAGAATTTGAAGCAAGAGCAAAAGAAAATACA